TTTGCTTAATTCATTCGATACTATTTCAGCATAATACATGATATTAAGACGATTAACCACAAAAATTCGGCTTTGAAAATGCGTGCAAACACTATTGAATTTTTTTTTTCTTTAAATAAATAAACAATTTGGTTCAAATCATAGAGCATGATTTGAAAACAAAGTAGGTATTACAATTATAATTTTAATTGCCATTTATTATTATATAAATTTTGATTATTTTAGGCCATGTATAATTTATAGGTTTCTCATTATATTTATTGACAAATTTAATCTCTACGTCATATTGGCGTATTGCTGAGAGAGTTCACCACTGATGAGAGCCAAGTCCTCTAGTCTAATAATTTAGCATTGTGTATATGATGTGGAATACACTATTTATTAAAATTACTTGAAAATTTTCTCCATAGATTGTATAAACGATAAGGAAGAGTAAGGAGAAAAGATTTTTATTCAATTAAACTTGTGACAAGCTTTCGGGCAGTCACGCCCTTCAACAGGTAATAAAAAGAACAATTGACTATTAAAATTCCTATTTTATTACCTGTTGAAGGGCGTGACTGCCCGAAAGCTTGTCACAAGTTTAATTGAATAAAAATCTTTTCTCCTTACTCTTCCTTATCGTTTACACTATTTATTAATTTTATAAGTTTAAAAAATAAGTGGTGGCCTGAATAAATTTTAAAAGAGGAATGAGAAAGGAAGGTTTACTGAAGGGGGCAATATTAACAAAAGGAACTCATCTATATATGAGAGAGTTGTGGTAGGGTAGGCTACTACAAGAGTCCCCAGCAAACTTAGCTCCTATCCTGATAGCCAATTGGACCCTAATTGCTGTAACATCCAATCCGAGGATACAAAAACCGGAGAAATTCCACACCATCCAGTGGCTCAGAACCCCATGGACATTTTCAAAAAGATAAGGCATGCTACAGGAGCTCACCACTGGAACAGGACATGTGCGAGGGACTATGAAATGAAAGGGAGAAATGAAAAGTGTGGCCAAAAAATTGATCGAAGAGAAATACTTTTAGAACGACCTGACCTTTTCTGCGGACTACCCCATCATCAACCACAGTATCGGTACACCCCCACACTAAGAGTCACACAGTGATGGAGGCGGTCTGTGTGAGGTAACTTCAGGAACTGCCAGGTTGAACTTCTCTGGGCCGCAAGCCTAATTAGAAGAAGCAGACCACAAGCAAATGAACCTGGACTTCGCTGCAGGAACCACCTAAGTTATCACTAGGCAAGCTTCTGGAGTAAACGTTGTGTGAAGTTGAAAAGGCCAAACTAGAAGTAATGAAGCCCAAGAAGAAGAGCTAGGCAGTTAGACTTACCAGCCTGAACTGCAAGGCCAATCAAGAGAGAGAGAGAGACATTTGAAACAATTTAATTGACAATTAGTCTTTTTTTACAAAACGCAAAAACAAAAATGATAATAATGAATAAGTAATGAGAATTGTGCAGAATATTAGGCTCATAGAATGTTGAGCTCTGGAAACCAAAAGGAATAATACTCTGCTAGTGATCTCTTTTGACTTGTATATAATACAGATATTATAATAGGAAATAAACTAATGCTTAGCTAATCTTGCCTCGTCTTGGATAACAACACATGGTGGCAGCGGTAAACTGAATTCATAAAGAAGGTCGTTGTTCGAGACATCAAGCAAGCTTAGAAGCGGTAAACTGAATTCATAAAGAAGGTCGTTGTTCGAAGAAAATTTGAAATTCGACATCAAGCAAGCTTAGAAGCAGTAAACTGAATTCATAAAGAAGGTCGTTGTTCGAAGAAAATTTGAAATTCGACATCAAGCAAGCTTAGAAGCGGTAAACTGAATTCATAAAAAAGGTCGTTGTTCGAAGAAAATTTGAAACTTGACATCAAGCAAACTTTTTGGTAAGTTATATTTTATTATAAATAAGTCTTTATAATGTCCCAAAATTATAATTGTGTAGCCCCAGATCCTTTTAATTTTTCAAATCCAGGTGATTGGCCAAAATGGATTAGGAGATTTGAACGTTTTAGGCAGGCAAGCGGGTTAATTAATAACCCAGAAAATGAGCAAGTTAATATGCTCGTGTACTGCATGGGTGATAATGCAGATGACATTTTGTTGTCATGTAAAATAGCAAGTGACCAATTAGAAAATTATGATAAAGTTATTGAATGCTTTGAGAGTCACTTTATTCCAAGACGTAATATAATTTATGAAAGGGCAAGATTTAATCAAAGATGTCAGCAGGAAGGGGAAAAGGTGAATGAATTTATCACAGCACTCCATAGCCTAGCTAAGCACTGCAATTTTGAGATGTTACATGATGAGTTGATTAGGGATAGGATAGTTGTTGGAGTAAGGGATAGAGCATTATCTGAAAGAATGCAACTTGATACAGACTTGACCTTAGTAAAAGCCACACTAATGGCAAAGCAATTAGAAAGTGTCAAAGAACAGCAGTCTAGCCTTTACCAACAAGATTCTGTAGATCAAATAAAGAAAATGCCTAATCATATAAAAGAAACAAAAAGGCACGAACCAAAAATAAGACAATTCAAGTCAAACCAGTTGGGAGGGTCATCACATGGATGCACCAGGTGTGGCAATTCAAATAATCATGATTGGAAAAACTGTCCAGCTATGAACTCATATTGTAATAAATGCATGAAAAAGGGCCATTATGCCAAAGTATGTAGATCAGAAGCTATAAATGATATAAAATCGGAGATAGCTTTTCTGGGATCTGTAGAAGATAATTCTAAGAAATGGATAGTACCAATTAAGGTAAATAATAGACAAGTTAATTTTAAAATTGACACCGGAGCTGATGTCAACGTGCTCCCCCTACAATATTATTATCAAAGTTTCCAAGAATAAAACTGGAAAAATCTGATAAAGTATTACAAGGTCCAAATGGAATACCCTTGGAAACAGTGGGAATGATCCACGTAAAACTTCAAAATAAAGGCCAGCACTTAAACTCGAAAATATACATTGTTGATAAACTAAAGCAGCCACTTCTCTCTGGGGAGACAAGTGAAAAATTAAACATTGTGAAAATGATTCAGCAATTATCATCAAATTTTTTAAATCCAAAAAGAGAGTTTCCAAAAATATTTAATGGTTTAGGACATGCTAAAATAAATTACAAAATATCCCTACAACCAGATGCGAAACCATATGCTTTATGCACCCCTAGGAGAGTTCCAATTCCCTTAATGAAACAGGTAAAGGAACAACTTGAAGAGATGACCAGGCTAGGAGTCATTGAATCAGTAGAAGAGCCGACTGAGTGGTGTGCGGGAATGGTTGCAGTATCGAAACCAGGAGGAAAAATAAGAATTTGTGTTGATTTAACGAAGCTAAATCAGTATATAAGAAGAGAAAATTATCCGCTACCTGCGACAGAGCATATCCTGGGACAGCTGGGAAATGCTTGCTATTTTTCCAAGCTAGATGCAAATTCTGGATTTTGGCAGTTTGGGTTAGCTAAAGAATCCCAAAAACTAACCACCTTTATAACGCCATTCGGCAGGTTCTTTTTCAAAAGAATCCCATTTGGAATAACGTCGGCACCAGAAATCTTTCAAAGAAAGATGACTCAGCTTCTGGGCAAAATAGAAGGGGTTGTATGCTTCATGGATGA